GGCGCCGAGCCAGATTTTTGTTTTTTAAATGTGACAGATTCTCACTCTGTTGCCCTGGGTAGAGTGCCATGGCGGCATCATAGCTCACAGCAACTTCAAACTCGGGCTTGAGCAGTCCTCTTGTCTCAGCCTCATGGGTAGCTGGGACTATAGGCATCTGCCTTTACGTCTGGCTAGTTTTTCTATTTTTAGTAGAGACGGGGGTCATACTCTTGCTCAGGCTGGTCTGGAACTCCTGAGCTTAAGCAATCCATTCACAGGGGCCAATAAATTAAGGAGCAAAAATGAAGCAGTCTTGGGAATGCCAGGAAGAGAGTGGTGCATGCACTTGCCCCTGAGATGAAAGATCTGCAGTTACTGCCCTCTGCTTGAAGGCCTGGTTCCCTTCCTCCCCCTAGAAGGCTCAAAGGTGTTAAGGAGTGTTTCCTTCGACCTTTACCTCCAGGCAAGGCCACCTGTAGATGGAATAGGACAGTCTGTTGTGAACTATGAAGTAAATGTTTCGCTGAGAGTTTCTGGGTGTGTCAGTTTTCACTGGCTGTTAGGTATGTTTACTTAAGGTTTCAAGAGGCCTTAAAAAGAATAAACACAGCTCAAGGGAGATGGTGCCAGTAATAGTCAGTCCCCATGAACTTTGGCCTGTCATCTGATTTTACTGTCACAAAGGTTTAATCAGTTCTAGTTGCTTTTGATAATTAGTCAAAACACAGCCTTCCTTAGTAATGTGTGGAGGTGATGATGGTTAAGCTGAAATGATGACTTAGCTTTCAAAAAAAGGCATTATTTTTATAAAACTTCCTCCCGAAATTCTGGGAATTTGATAGCCAATGGGTTGTTTCATTGTTTCCCTCTAGTTACAAATGTTGTCACTGAATGAAACTTAAAGACTCAGCTGTTAAATAGCAGTGGTAGGATTTTGACCAAACTAATGTCTAATGTGATCCTTAACCACATGGAAGTCCCTCATTTCTTCCCCCCTTAAGTTTCCCCAGCTGAAATGTCCAAGAAACTCTTTGAAATAAGTTATTTGGAGGTAGTTTTAGCTGCAGGTATTTTTCCTTTTCCTTCTATTCGCCCCTCACCTGCCCAAGTTCACGTTGCTGAACTCAATACCGTATTCTTTTTATTCTTTCTTCCATTGACTGAAACAACCAGATGCAGCCTATTAAGAGCCTTGTTGCTCTGTTTTTGTGCACCTTGACTTGCTGCTTGAATTGGTTTCACCCTGACAATGTGGCAGCAGCGATGGAATTGTGTGATTCTGCCTCTGATGTGCCTGACAGTGGAATGGATTAGCCGTTTTTCTTCCTTTTGGTTGTTGGGAATCAATATCATCAAAATAATCTCAATTTAAAATAATGGAGGAGAATCTAGAGTTAACTACTTGGGCTATAAGTGGGAATTAAAATCTGGGTTCTTCTGGGCGGCGCCTGTGGCTCAGTGAGTAGGGCATCGGCCCCATATACCCAGGGTGGTGGGTTCGAACCTGGCCGCGGCCAAACTGCAACAAAATATAAGCCAGGCGTTGTGGTGGGCGTCTGTAGTCCCAGCTGCTGGGGAGGCTGAGGCAAGAGAATCGCTTAAACCCAGGAGTTGGAGGTTGCTGTGAGCTGCATGACGCTGCCACGGCACTCTACTGAGGGTGAGAAAGTGAGACTCTGTCTCAAAAAAAAAAAAAAATTTAAAATTGGGGTTCTTTGATTGAAGAGCTAAGTAAGACAAACTACTCCCCTGTAACTAATAATTGTTAGTTGAGGGGGGAAAAAGAAAAACATGAGGCTCGGCGCCTGTGGCTCAAGCGGCTAAGGCGCCAGCCACATACACCTAAGGTGGCGGGTTCGAATCCCCAGCCTGGGCCCGCCA